TTGAGAAGCTCCGTTGCCTTGTTTGACAAATACTGAAGAAAATCCTTGATTTTGGATGCAATCCATTGAGAAGCTTCACCAATTTTCTCCATGACTACGCCTCCAATCTTCGCCATAGAAAATATGTTGTTGTATTTTATTTGAAGTACTTTGTGATCTTACTTGAGAATTACGTAATGTGCCCGTTGTATATATATAGAAGTCTTAGTGGGCATGACCTAGTGTGGAAGCATCTATATAGAAGTCTTAGTGGGCATGACATTGACTTAGTGTGGAAGCATCTATATAGTAGTCTTAGTGGGCATGACTAAGTGTGGAAGCATCTATTAATTTTCTCAATAAAAAATTATTAATCAATTTAAGTGGACTGCTATTTTAGTTTCTCTTGACGTAGAGAAGATGACGTAACGTGGAGCAGCCTTGATAATAAGGTTGTCCCTATTTACTGTTATTCGGTTAAGCACATAGCCAATGAATAAAAGCATCGCGAATAAATTAATCTTACCTGATCAATAATATATTGTCTTTTCATTTTATTTAGAATCTGCTTTTGTTGGGTACCAGTCGAAGCATTTGGAGGGTGCTGGAGGTGAATAAATTCCCCATTGTGGGCGATTTATCCCAGATAAAAGTGAGATTATCAATTCTTTTTCTTTGCATTTTGGTAGTGAATGTCGCGATAATTATATAATTAGTAGAGAATTAGGACAAAGTCTAACTTACCTCATTTATCTTTCTGTAATTATTCTTAAAACTTTGAATTTCAACTTGGTTTCGGAGCGCGTACGATCCCATCTCTTGAACACCATGTAGCTTCGTGAAGCCCGCGAGCATCTCGTATTCATACTGTCCTTCGTACACCGTATTACCTCCATTGAAACTTTCATCATCAACCATTATCAACACCCATAATCTAGCCTTGCCGCTGCTCGAACCCTTGCAACGTCGAACTCATACCCATGCACCATTGACTAGATCACATCTTTGACCCTATTGGAGCTCCTCACGTCTTTGACTATCGTGGCTCCGATCGATTCAACACCAGTTTCTAACCCACACGATCTCTTACTCCATATCGCGATTGGAAAAGAAATTCAAGATTTCACACATTTGCTGAAGTGGTTTGATGACCCAGAAACGATCCCACTGAATCGGCTGAACAGTACCCGAGTTTAGTATTTCACCTACACGGCCTGACTTTTTGGCTTGACTCACGCACCCAGATAGGATTTGAGCGATATTGCACCTAGTGTGGTATAACCCTTTGAGGGATCAGGTCATATGTAGTTCTAGGACAATAAAATCAAGGGATATTTGTAGAAATGTCATCTAAACTTATACATCAGTTTTAATTTGTCATCTTAAGGAAACATTTAAGCGAAATGTCACCTTAAGTTTTCAAAATTCATAATTTGTCACATGACTTTAACATTATCCAATTTTCCATCCATTTTTAAGGGTATTTTAGTCTTTCCAAGCAAGAGGGTTTATATAGCTTTACATTTAAATTATATAAAAAAGAGGGTTTACATATTGAAAAGACTAAAATACCTTTCAAAATGAATGGAAAATTGGATGATGTTAAAGTTAGGTGACAAATCATGGATTTTGAAAACTTAAGATGACATTTTGCTTAAATTTTTCTTTAAGGTGACAAATTGAAATTGATGTATAAGTTCAGGTGACATTTCTAAAAAAATCCCTAAATCAATTTTTATGAAAAAATATCCATATAAAATCATATATATATATATATGATTGTTTAGTCTTGTTGCTTTTCTATTATTTTAAGGACAAATGAAGTGCAAATGCGGTTAGTTAGTGCCATGGACTCAAGTTCTATTCCCTTCCCCATTCGTTATAATAGTTTATAATATTTCTTTTTCTCCAATGAGGTACCTGTGGAAATACTGTACCTCATGTTTTGGGGCATAGTTGTTTCAATCAGGTAGAGTTTCCAACTAAGGGGTATTATGAGGATAATTTGAATACATTACTAATTCAAGTATTATCTTACGAAATTCAAGACTCTAGATACCAAAGTGGAGTCATCAACGTCACATCCAACTCTATAAGCCCCGTTTGGTGGACTTGACTAGATGAGACTTTTTCAATTAAAATGGACATGGGTCCAGTCTGTTGTTTGGTGGTCTTAATTGTATCACATGGCTAGGACTTCAATTTTTATTTAGGTTATGAATCCAGCATACACTGGATATCAAAACCCACGTCGAGACATGGGTTTAGAAGACTACCTCGCTTCGTCTCCTAAGAGATCAAAATTCTTCTCTATATGCACTAGCTCAATGTTGGAAAATATCGAGCAAGAAGAGCTATGCATCATTTAAAGCTTGCCTCAGCAGAGCAGGAGTACACCTTCGCCAGCATTGCTTTCTTAAATGAGGAGCTATAATTTGGATGGTGGGTTGCCTATTAGAGTAGTCAGATACCAATTTTTTTTGGTATAAGTGACATCAATAACAGGGTTTATGTGACTAATACCAAGTTAATTGATAATCCCACGTTGATTCAAACAAGAGTTTATGAGTTTATACGTTGTTTACCCAGTTAAGTTCAAAGGTTGCTCTTACATCTTTGTATGCTACTCAAACGCTACAACTATTTAACTAAATTAGGTTTTTAGGTGCAATTGAATGTACTAGGGATCTTTCTGACGTTAATTGTAAGAAGTGCCTAAATGTTGCCATAAGTGAACTTCTAGTTCAGAGTTATGGATTTAGAGGTGGATGCGTTATTTATGGGAGTTGTTATGTTAGATTTGAATCGTACCACTTTTATTAGCATTCTTTTGTTTCCTAAAATGGATTCTTGGAAAAGGTCATTCCTAAGCTCATTCAAGGATATGGGATTTAATGACTCCCGTCGTAGTGTTTGGGAATAATGGGTAAGGTAACCAAAAATAGTTTTTAGGCTTGTTCCCTCGTTTGGTGTGTACAATAGTTTTTAGGCCACACAAAATGTGTACTATGAAAACATGCCACTAACAATGCGCATTTACTACAACTCCGCGCCTGCAATAGGCTTTTTAAAAAAAATTTAAAATTTATTTTAGAATTAAAAAAAGATAATGGGTAGTTGTGTTCCATTAAACTTTAATATATTATTTTTGACAACGAGAGCTAAACTACATATAAAGTAACTTGTAATAATCAAACATTCAAGTTTATTCTGTAGGAAACATAAGGGCACCCTTACTATATAGAAAGTCTGAACATACGCATCCCCCAACCGGTTCCTCCTAAATGTTGGGGTAATTACACAGAAGAATGTTTGAAATAGTTCATAAATAAAATGCTGGAATAGGGCTTCAAATTCCAGATATTGAATTAGTCTGACAGTGAATCAAGAACCACATGCGAATCAAGAATAAAAGGAACTTTCAACCCAAAAAAAAATCCAACAGAAGCATTCATGTAATATAATTTGTTCATGTATTCCAATAATTGTTTCGTTGAATTGATGCATCACGTAAATTAAAGACCAACAGAATCAAGCTTCTTCTACATCAGGTAAATTGGTAATGGCTGCAATCTTCATAATGAGGTTCAATGGCTACAACTTTCATCATATAGCTAAAACAACTAGCTGCTGCTGCTGCACACACCGTCTTTTAAAGTTCAAAATTAATTACATATACCAAAGTCTGTTTTATGAAAAGATTGCTCAAATGTAATCTTGTAAGTAGGAAATTGTAACTCATTAGTCATCAACAAAGCAACATTTAACTACCATCTTGGCTGAAATCAGTACTAAAATTAAAGCAGTCAACGAACCCAAATTAGAGAAACTGTGATTATTACTTTATATCTTGTGCTGTGGAACCATACATGTATTAAAAAAATAATCAACTACCCGACCATCATGGATTCATACATTTCAAATTCACCATTTACAGACCAAAACAAAATATATAGAAATCATATCGGCAGCATTTCAAATTTCAGAAAAGTTTTTTTTTAAAAAAAAAAAACAGTCCCACAATGCAAGCGGGAAGAAAACTCCAAATCAGATTTCTTCAATTTTAATAAGATCTATGAACAGTTACCATGTGAAATATATGGCAACTCAATACTTTTTCTAAAACTAGAGGCCACCTTAGGCAAAAAGGAAGAGGACGATTTCACCTTCAATAAGATTTGACTGAACTACTCTAGTAGAAGAAAATGCTGAATCATATAAGTTCAGATATTAGAATTATCATTTTCAGACCACGCATGTTAAATCTCTCTTGTTGCTTAGATTGTTGCATCTTTATGATAACATCTTAAAAGGATTCCACAGAAAAAAAAGAAAAAGAAAAAGAAAGAAAACAACGCATGAATGCCCAATTTCAACTTGTACTCTTTCAATGGAACAAAACATACCACATTCAAATACCTGCTATATCCAGGTCTTGGATCATTGGAGAGTGTTAATACCCCGGCGAATCCATCCAAGCAATTTCCAACAGCATATCAATGTTCTCTCCAAAGATTCGATACCTCCCTTCACTATATGCAATTACCTGTGTGTTCCCACACTGACATACAACACAACAGGATCATATGCACCTGTCACAATCCTTCCCATCTCAATATGTGCACTGCAATGATTAACTGCAACATTGGGCTTCTTCCAAAGCTGTGAAAGAAGCCTAACAACAATGGCAGCAACTTGTAATGGTGCTCCCATGCCAGGACCCTTGGTGTAACAAAGGCAATCAATTTCCTCGGGCGTTATTTGGGCAGTTTCCAAAGCAGATTTTATCAGCAGGAGAACGTGTTGGAGATGGTGCTGTGCAGTTTAGCGGGAACGAACCCTTGGCCGCGAGGGGTAATGTATGTGTTGCGTGAGTTTGACAAAATTGTAACCCCAACACCAATCTTGTTGGCTGAACCCTCAAACCCTAGAGCTATCATCTTCTTCATTCTTGTAGAAGGCACACTCTGTGAATCAAAAGGAAATTCAAACAAAGTCCAAAATGTTCGACTCACATATACTTTTTATGAACCTTGTCTGCAATATATTCCGGGTGGCTTAATTTCCATGGAACTGGCAAAGTTTGATCAGCGGATACGATTCAAATGGGCAAAAGGCTCAGGATCAGCTTTGGGAGCTGGTTTAACCTCCTTAGGGTCCCCAAAAACATTCCATAACTTCAGTGTTTCATGAGCTGCTGATGCTACTGTGCAACCATTTGGGCTCTGAGCCATAGAAAGGACTGTAGAAGTATGACCAGTGAGTTCTGCAATTCTAAACATTGATGGGTATTTCCAAAGAGTAAGCTGATTCTGAGTAAACCCATGTGCGCTAAGCAGCTCTCGTTCATTCATATTCCACAGCAAAGCACAAACCTGAGAGCCAGTGTCAACAGAGTTCAGGCATGCACCTGTGTGAGTGTTCCAGAACTTTATGCACCGATCATCATTCCCGCCTCCACCAGAAGCTAGCAAATTTCTCTGGAAAGGACACCAAGCAAGGGCTTTTACAGCAGCTGTATGATCTTGGAGCCTGTGAAGCCACTGTGTTCGTGAATATGATCTGTTGTCCCATATATGGAGTAGGTTATCATTTCCTCCACTTGCTAATTGCTGGCCTGAAGCCGACCATTTAAGCCCACAAACCTCTTGCTCATGTCCTCTGTATGTCTCAACAACAATGTGTGATCCAATTCTTACATCATTGTTAACGATGCGGCCATCCATTCCTCCAGTTGTAAGAATGTGATTGTTCCATGCCAGTGAGCCTACTCGCGATCGGTGGCAACCTCTCAAGGTTATCACATGAGAACTGGCCGTTGTATCCCATAGCTCTACTTCGGAATTGTTCAGTCCAATGGCAATCTGGCGTCCATCAATAGCCCAATTGACGCTGGTAACAGGTCCCCTTTCATCCTCAAATGTGGCCAGTTCCCAAGTAGAATCATCAGTAGCATCCCACAAATAAACTGTGTTTGCAAGAGCTATTGCAAGAACATTGGAGCTTCCCCAATCCAACAAATTAAGGTAGTAATCATCCATAAGGTAGGGAGCATCAAGTGTTCTGTCTGCACTTTGAGAAATATATCTTCTTTGTGCCTTAGGGGGGTTTGATTCTGTATGTTTATCCGAAGAGAAGTTGCTTGGGAAGAGCTCTACACGGGGAGGAGTCTTATTCTTGAAAGCAAGAATTCTACTGCGGTTCATGTTCATGGCCTCAGCCAACAGCTTCCGATAGCCTTCTCCATATCTAGGTGGGTTTGCCTTACCTTTCCTAGTACTACTACCTTGATGAGTAAGCATGTAAAATGCATAATCAAAGTCCATGGCGGACCGGTTTGGTATGAACCGGTCCCAATTTTCTCGGGAATTCCTTTTCTGAAGAAGCTGTTGTTCAAGAGGGCACCACCTAGACTGTGACCTCAAGGTACTCATTGTTATGTTTGCAAATTTGAAACCCAAAAATTAAAAATTAAAAAACAGAGAATATGAGACACACAGATAAATAAACAGGGAGAGAGAGCAGTCAAAAATCAGTATAGTTGAAGCAGATTTTCCTTTAGAACAACCAAAATCCTAAGATCCTGTAGAAACCCTAAGAAATCAAACTTGAAAAAAAACAGATAATATGAGAGACACAGATAATAAGCAGTCGAAAATCAGTATAATTGAAGCACAACCAAAAGCATATACAAATTTCAAATCCAACTAAGCTCCCGTAGAAACCCTAAATGAAATAAAATTTAACTAAAGACAATAGAAACGCAGACAGGGCTCAGATCTTGTCAATTCAAAATTTTTGCAGAAAAATATACACACAAAAAAACTGAGTTTAACTAACCGAATTATCGATACGACGGGACCTAAATTGCCTCCGAACAAAGCATTGAGCTGAGGCTTTCGATTGGTTTCTTCGCCTGCCCACACTCACCGATGCTCAATCAATTCCACCTCAATTGTTAGCCCAAAGCGGAATCGTATACGTATTCTCAGAAAATTGAACTAATCGAAGAAAATTGAACTCGGGTTTGAAAAGAGGTATATATACGTATGTCTGACGCGTAGACTACGCGTGGAATACGAGTGGAATACGCGTATCCCACTCGTGAAATACGCGTACTTCACGAGTGAAATACGTGTATTTCAGGAGTGAAATACGCGTACTCGACGCGTATTCTCTCTCTCTCTCTCTCTCTCTCCCCTAGATGAGTTGTGCTATTTGATTACAGGTTGAAAGAAAAATGGTTAGAAAACAAGATGCAGACTTACTATCTGGGTCGCTGATTTTCTTTCTGGTTAAATTTTTTCTTTCTGAACATCATCACTGCACATGTCCAAACCTTCACTCATCATCCATCACACCTCATCACTAAGTTGGACTCAATCTTGGCCCAACCATTTTGAGCATCAACATATGCCATGCCTTTGATTATTTCTTCATTCCTGATCCTGAAATTAGTATTTTATCAATGCTTCATTCCTGATCCTGAAATTAGTATTTTATCATTGTTGGTGAGTGGAATTAGATCGTATGAATGCTTAAACTGTTGAAATAATAAAAGGCTAAAAAAAAAAGATTTTCTATTATTTCAATAAAACCCAATTAATCTAGTTAGTTTCACATTTTAAGCTTCAAAACAATAAATTAAAATCTCAATTGAATATAACTCCTGTAGGTATTTTGAAATACAAATGGATGCTCGTACATAACGTAATGAGAAAAATGAAATTTTGAGAAGAAAAAACCCGGACTCGTTGCACAAAGTTTCTCGTATAGACCTAGAATCGATTAGGAGAAGACATTCAGAGCTCCATTTTGGAAGAGTTTACTGATCTAATTTTGGTGAATTTGATAATACGTTTGTCATTAATTTTCACTTAAATAATTGTAGTAAGAATACAATACCTATCATCAGTTGCAAACAACCTTCCACCCCGTTGAGAGCACATACTTCTCATCGTCTCTTGCAAGCGTTCGTTGCAACCTACACCGCCAACTATAAGGACATCTTTCTTGTCACAATGTGCCTTTGCACGCTCCGTTATCTCCACAAGCATTGCTAACACATTTTCCTGAGCCAAATTAATAAAATTAAATAAATCATGAAGTAGTCCATCATTACAGAAATCATTCTTCCTCTTTTGCTTGCAGAGAGTTTATTAAATTGGAAATTCTTTGTCGCTCTTTTTTCCTGATAAGTCCCATTTGCTAAAACCCATTTTCCCATCAAAATAGCTTTGATTCCAAAGTTTACCTGGAGTGAGTAGCATAGATCAGCAGGGGTGCACTCGCTATTCTTGAGCTTCCCCACAGCAGTGGCTTCAGTGAATTGAACCTTTGTGAGATTTTCTTTGTAAATTACGGGGTTGTGATTTGAGCTTATTGTTTCACAAATGTATCTAAGGTTACTCTCAAACTTGTTTGTAACCTTGTGGGTTGGTTTTGAATAAAGTATTTCAACTTAAATATTTTTATTTTTCTACTGTCAATAAAACTCTAATCCAACCCCCTTTTAGGGTTTAGGGTTTAGGATTTAGGGTTCAGGGTTTAGGCCCCTTTTTATAAAAAAAAAAGGGCTTAATGTGTTTCGAGAATACTTGGGAGTATGACGCACTGGCGATTGGGCATTGTATTCTCGAGATTCTCGATGCACGTGCCATTGTCACGTGATTGGGTTTTCAGGGTGTGACATGTAAGGTGGAAACCGAACTGGACCGGACCACGCCCACCTCTAGTTTAGTCTATTTTGGTATTATTTAAAAAATTAAAAAAAAAAAAGCATCAGCGACATCATAATTGTGTGTGTGTGAGAAATCCCCCTCCCTTGTAATAAAATAAAAAAAATAAAAGGCAAACTGTACTTTACAAAAGTTTATTTTCCCTATATTATGTTTCTTCTACCCGCATTAAATTTCAGAAAATAATTACCATTATTTTTAATATTTAATATTTATTTTATAAATCAGTCTATCATTAATTAAAAAAACTGTAAAAATTAACAACTAAAAAAAATATTATTAGATAAGCCAGTAAATTATTTTCTTTCGGTTACAGGGTTGAGAAAATATTTATTAAACCATTAAACTACATGAGATGGTAGATCCTAGCTAGCTAGAAATAATACCAAACAAAAAAAGAAGAAAAAAAAATATAATAGTGGCTCTAAGAACTCCAGTAAACTATAATGCATTCCATAAACCAACTCAGACTGAGAACTCATTATTTTATAACTTAAATATTTTTCTCAAAAACACCTCATCAGAGTAAAAAGCTAAACATGACTTTGATCGAAGTATAGAAAAAAACAATAGCCTGCATTTGGGCAAGGGTCATTTGAGGGTTCTTTTTGTAGAGCGCAGCAGCTTCATAGACAACATAAGCTAAACCATTTGGCTTAACCAAGATATTAAGCAAAGGCCCTTCTGTCAGACAGTATAGGTCTCTTAAGTTCCCACTCACAGCAAACAACGCGCGCTTGTTTTTTGTTTTTCTCACAAATTCTTTCATCAAACTAAGAAATCTCTTCAGGTCACTATGAAGAAGGTCTAGCATCAGCATCAGCTTCAGCATTGAAGCTACCAAATTCTTCAATTCAATGATCGAATTGCAGGCCGCATCTGTCCATTTACTCATAAGCTCCATTGCTTTCGCTATAGTGTCGTCAATAACGCACTTAGATTTCACAAGGGCTTCTTTGAATTCCTCCGAAAAATTGTCGAAAAACCGCCGTGCTACGTTGAGAAGCTCTGTTGCCTTGTTTGACAAATACTGAAGAAAATCCTTGATTTTGGATGCAATCCATTGAGAAGCTTCACCAATTTTCTCCATGACTACGCCTCCAATCTTCGCCATAGAAAATATGTCGTATTTTATTTGAAGTACTTTGTGATCTTACTTGAGAAATAAGTAATGTGCCCTTTGTATATATACAAGTCTTAGTGGGCATGACTTAGTGTGGAAGCATCTATATACAAGTCTTAGTGGGAAGCATCTATTAATTGTCCCTATTTACTGTTATTCGGTTAAGCACATAGCCAATGAATAAAAGCATCGCGAATAAATTAATCTTACCTGATCAATAATATATTGTCTTTTCATTTTATTTAGAATCTGCTTTTGTTGGGTACCAGTCGAAGCATTTGGAGGGTGCTGGAGGTGAATAAATTCCCCATTGTGGGCGATTTATCCCAGATCAAAAGTGAGATTATCAATTCTTTTTCTTTGCATTTTGGTAGTGAATGTCGCGATAATTATATAATTAGTAGAGAATTAGGACAAAGTCTAACTTACCTCATTTATCTTTCTGTAATTATTCTTAAAACTTTGAATTTCAACTTGGTTTCGGAGCGCGTACGATCCCATCTCTTGGAAACCTTCGAACGTCTGGTGTTGAACACCATGTACACTACCCAAAAACTAGGCTAAATAGCACGGTGCAGCCACTTTAAAGTAGACAACTGATGCACAAATGACTTGAGTGGTTCAGACAACTTCTCAGTGGATACACGATTCACAATTGGACACTTTGATGTCTTGCCAGTATCAAGTGAATAACGATTTGGTGGCTTTCTACGATTCTTCCTGAAAAGTAATTGGCATCCAATATATTTATTCTCTAAATTCACGAGTATAATAGGAGTAGTTACATCAAGGATATGCTCAAGAGATTAGTCTGTTGGTACTATTGAGTTAGAGGGGGGTCTTCATCTTATTGTTATGTATTGGTTGTAGGTGTGGGACTCGGATCAGAAACATCTTCGCAGGGACCAAGTGGGTCATGCAATTGATCGCTTTTCAGTAGAGTGTAATCTTGTTTTCCAGACTCGGGACGATCGATAATTTCTGCACATACTCCAATTCTGCTCTTCCC